GCCCACCACTCCCTCTCTGTTCTCCAGTCCATGGTTTTCAAAGAAACAGAAGAACAAATGACATGAGCTCAGCGAGCTTCTTTACAAAGACCCGACCTCTTTGGTAAGAGGTCTTCTGTCTCGCATTTCCGTTGCAAAACGGATCATTCTGCAAGAAACTGGCCCCCACGTGGGTAGGACCCCCCTCGAGTGTTAAGGCAGCGTGAGGTGGGCACTTTCATTCAGCAGGTGGCGGCGCCCTCCCTTCGCCTCGACTGCATACATAGACTCACGCAGCAGATCTTAACGCGATGGCTTCAAGCAGATATTGTGCATCTTGTGGAAAGAATAATTCTTTTAAAATCTGGTAAAGTATCAAAAGTGTCACGTGCGGTACACAGAAGCCCCCTTCTCCTGGGCAACCGCTGCTATCAAAAAAAAGGCCACACACACAAAAAAGAAGTCAAACATGGTAAGATAACGCACAGACTCTTAAGTGTAGGTGGAGGGGGAGCCTAACCCTTCCTCGAGAACTTCCAGGGCTTCCAGGGCGCCCCCCACCTCCGTCCTCCCAGGGGCTCGGGCTCAGGAGCCACCTTCCGCCACAAGGGGGCAGCACCATCGCGTTGTTGGCGTGGGGTCACCTAGCACCGCAGCTCCATTCGCCCTGGGGACAGGAGCGCCACCTGCAGGCGGAGAGCGAAAACTGCAGGCGCTCTGAAGTGCACCCGGTTCTGATACACGCGGGTTTGTTTGCTGGCCTTTCAAATTTTCACACCCCACTCTTCCAAAGAGTGACTCTTTTCATCCAGAGAGAGCAGTTAAACATGGCTAGATGCAACGAAATGACATTCCCCTCCCCTCTCCCAACACATTGTTCTTTGGCTAGGACACCTTCCTTTGTCCCTTGAAGGGGGGTGGTGTTTCTTCTGGATGGCAGTCCTGGGCACGGTGAATCGTGAGGTGCAGGGAATTTCAAAGTGCTCTGGGCTGAGAAATGGGGGATTTGACCTGGGGAAGCGGGGCTTTGTAGCTGAATGAAATGCTGCGACATGGTTCTCTGACCCGGGAAATGGGAGACAGTTCAGGCGTCCTCACTAAGTGGGAAGGAGCTGACCAGCGTTAAAGTGCTTTGTAACAAAAAGAAGCCAACCAACCCAACAACAACAAAAAAGTGTCACCCCCTGTTGGGAACAGTCCTTCTGGGAGGGTTTGCAGTGACTTCAGGGGCCAGATTCTGCCCCTCTCGCCGCCAAGATCTCCATCTTCTCGTCTTATCCTACTGCTGGGAGGTCCCAGGGCCCTGCTTTCACTGGGTCCCCAGATACCTGCCACTTGGCTTGGCTTTTTACACAGAAAGCAGCAAAGTCCCCTGATTTACCCTCTTTTCTCGAAGCACTGACCGACTGCTTCTGAGGCTCAGAGCCCTCCAAGGGGAACCTCCCCCAGCCCCTAGCTGGCTCCCACCTAACCACAGACTCCAGTCAGGTGGCCGGGCTCACCGACAACCTAGTGGAAGGCTCAGCACGAGTTCCTGTTGGAGGAAGGGTCTCTCTCTCTCTCCTTTCTGGCCGCACGCTTTGCAACAGGACTCCCACCTGTTAGAATAGCAAGTCTAGTCCCCAGGGAGCCAGCAACAGAAATTAGAGAGGGATTGCTGCTCCCTCACCAAGCTGAAACCAGGTCTAGGGATGAGCTGCAGCTGACCGCTTGCACCGCCAGAGGGCGCCACTTGCCAGTCACGCCACCAACCTGTTCTCAGACTTCAGCCACCTGGGTGCTCTGACTGTTGCCACCCTACCCTCCAAGGTACCAAGTCTGGCCCATGAGAAGGGACCTGTCTGGGCCAACCCCATCAGGAGAGATCCCTGGTGCATGCTTGGTGGATTCTGAGGAAAGGGTTCTGCAGAATGGAAAATAAAATGATAGCGCAGCCTGCCCATGGGAATCCTGTGGGTCCTGCGAGGTGAGCAAAGGAGCTCACGGTGAAGACATACACCTGGACATTCTGGCTCCTGCCTAAGCGCCCCAGAAGGTCTGGGGGCCCCGGCCCCGTGCGCCTGGCAGGCAAGACCAGGCCACCTGTTCTGCAGGACCTGCTCAGGGAAGCTCATCTGCATTCTCCTTTAGGACAGGGCTCTGGACCCCCTGACCACCAGAAGCTGGAAGAACGTTCCAGAATACACACAAAGCAACTCAGGTGAGGCGGAGTCAGTGTTAACTACGTTTTCGTCACGTGATCCTCCAGCGTATCGATCCGGGGGCTTCACTTCAGGGACAAGGAAAGCAAAGTTCTCGAACTGTTCAGTGCCCAGCGCACAGCCGGGAGGCCCCCAAACAGCCTTGGCTGGGCTTCTCGCTTGTGTTTTGGTTCTACGGTCTCTGACCAGACAGACGCAGTATCCTCTCTCAGGTTGAGTGGACCGAGGATTTCTTCTGTGGCCCCACGTACAAGCGAAAGTGCTGGGGTTCCTGCTCCAGCTGTGGGTGGGCTCCCATACTGGGTGAGGCTCCCCCAAACAAAGAGGTTCATCAAGTCACGCTCCTGTTCCCTCTTCTCCTCCTGACTCCCTGGGGCCTAACCTATGCAGGCTCATGGCCCCGGCCGGATGAACAGAAGGTCATTAGAAACCAGACCACGAAATTGTAACGGGGGAAAGGGGAGGAGGGCTGGGGAGGGCGTCTTCCAGGAGAGGAATCCCAAGACAGTGCCAGGGCAGGAGCGGAGCAGAAGCCCGGGACCTGCACGCTGGTGGCGGGTTCCTCCTCAGGGCAGGGGTCAGATGGCCAGCCAGTGCTGCAGCTGCAGAGAAGAGACAGAATGGCCTTCAGCAACCAGGGTGGGGGCGGGGCGGGCCCAGGAGCCCGGGCCGAGGGCTGGACAGGGAGCAAAAAGTGAAGGGGAGGCACAGGGCAGGTCCTGCCTCCTCCGAGGCCCCAGGAACCAGGCGGGTGCTTCCTTAGTCGTGAAGGAAGCCCAGGAGGGGCAGGCAGCTTCCCCAAGGTCACAAAGCCAGTCTGAAGCAGAACACACGTGGGGACCCTCTCCGCCCCAGTCTGGGTGTTCTGAGTGGGGAGAAGGTAGGTCTAGGCCAGGGTGTCACTGATGCGCCTGCAGTGTTTCCTTCAGATCAGGAATCTGTGCTTCTCTGTGGCTCAAGGGCTGAGACTCAGCACTGTGAAGCTTTCACTAGACTCTGCAGCCCGAGTTCGATTCCCGGCCAGGGAGTGACCCACAGGGCGCAGCAGACCTCTCTTGACCAGCCCGCTGCTCCCCCCAGCAGTGGATTTCAGTAGAGCTGCCTGTTCTGCTCCCCACCCTGTCTCTGGTGAATCCCTTGTACTTCTGGCCTGTACCCCAGTTCTTGTATGCATAAATAAATCTTTAAAAAGGGGGGGCCCTTCCTGGTGGTGCGATGAGTTAAAGCGCAGCACTACAAAGCTGTCCACAGCCACGGCAGCACGAGTTCGATCCCCGGCCAGGGAGTGACCCACAGGGCACAGCAGACCTCTCCTGTCTCCCCACTGCTCCCCCCTGATCTACCTATTCTGCTCCCCTCTCTGTCTGGTGAAGCTTCTCACCTACCACACCTATGGCCTGTACCCAAGTTCTCACATAAATAAATAGATCTTAACAAAAAAATCAGGAAGCTTCGGCTTTGCTAGGTGACATCCCAGAGAGGTGGAATTGGGGCATTTGGTTGAAGCTGGTAAGGGAGAGGACAGGCCCCAGCCTCCAACCCTCACACCACAGCTGGCCCGGTGGCCTGGTGTGTGGCCCACACGCAGCAAGCTGAGGCAGGCCTGGCTTCGCCTCTCAGCCCCACGGGGAGGCACTCACCTGGAACTGCCGGACGTCCCTCTGGGCCACCAGGTGGTGCTCGTTCTCTGGCGTGATGCCATAGGCCAGTCTCTGTGAGGGGCGGGAGAAGGGGCAGCAGCCTCAGCTAGGCCCAGGGACACTCAGCAGACACCCCTGGATAAGGGGGTGTTGAGCACTGGGCCTGTCCGGACACCCCGCCCGAGTCTGTGGAGCTGGCTGGCTCACATGGGATTAGCTGCCTGGTCAGTGAGATTTCATTGCCTCAGCTACGGTGGTCAGAGCCTGGGCTGGGCGCCGGACCCGGAGCTGAAGGCCCCACGCTGTCTGTCTGGGGGACCTTGCACAGAAGCAAACACACAGAAGTAGGGGAGTAGGGCGGAGGGAAGGCCAGGAGGGGCAGGACATACACCCGGTGGGGGTGGGGGGGTGTGCAAAGGCCTCCCTGGGGTGAGGCCCAGGCAGGGACCAGACAAGGTGCTGGGGGTCAGCGACTGATCCCTGATGGTGGAAACCCTTCTGTTCCCAACCTGTGAAGAATAAAAACCTGGAAGCAAGGCCTGGCTCCTCACAGCACCCCACCCCCCGTAAGCCGGGCACTCTCAGGCTTTGGGGTCTCATGGCCTGGATACACCTCAGGGAGATTTGGGGGGTGGGCACAGCCTTGCCTGGGAGCCTGGGCCGCTTGTGCCCACTTGGCCCATTGACACCCCTGTGTCTCATGCCACAGGGCTCCCCAGGGAGGGTCCGTGGAGGTCGGGGGAGGGAGATGCTGACGGGGTGAAACCTGCATCTTGCACCATGAGGGGAAGGCTGCTGCTCTTGACCGTTTTACCCACTTGCGGCACAAAGGCCAGGTCCCCCCAACTGGCCCATGGAGACCGTCCACACGGGTTTGCGAAAGTGAGAGAAGAAAAGGTAAAAGCAGAAACCTCCGCAGGGGTCTGTGTGACACCCCCGCCCCGCCCCCCCCCCCCGGGGGGCTTGAAGGTGGAGGCGCCTTCTCACACACCCGCCAGCAGGCAGGGCTGGCACAGGACACAGCACAGGTGACACCTGTGAGGGCCAGCACCCCTCCTCCTTGCAGGGGATCGGTGGGTAACCCCCAGATGCGGTGGAAAGGGAGTCGGGGGTAATGGCTGGGCCTGGGCAGTGCCGGCTACCCCCGCAGTGGCTGGCTGCGTGCTGCCCCCCTCCCCTGTCCCCTGCTCACCTCCCAGAGGGAGCCCCTCATGCTGAGGAACTTGTAGAGGATGTAGGTGGGCACCAGCGTCATGGAGGAGAGCGCCACTCCCCACCCGACCCAGTTGGCCCAGGGCGGGAAGACGTAGTCGTCATAGGTGAGAGGCCTGAAGTTGATGATGCTCACGATCACCACAAACTGGGGGGCGAGGGGGGGCAGTGAGGAACAGGGAGGGCGAGGCCAGGAGAGGCAAGTCAGGGAGGGAGGAGGACCGGAAGGAGGGCAGGAGTGAGGAGCAGGAGGGGAGCAGAGAGCGGAGGGAGAAAATGAGGAAGGAGGGAAAGACACAAAGAAGGGGGGTCACAGAAGGATGGCAAAGGAGACAGATGAGGGGTGCAAGAAGAGCTGAGGGAGCAGAGGTGACCCCCCCACTGGGGCCCAGCGGTTACACACAGCCCTGCCCCGACCCAGGACCCCAGCTGGAGGGTGGTCCCCACCCAGAGAAACCCACCCCAAACCTCAGCCCCCCGGCCGCCCCCCCAAACCCCCCAGGAAGCCCCCACCGTGGCTACACACCAGAAGGAAGGCCGGGCTGACAAACTTCCAGCACAGCCTCCAGTACAGACCCGGCTTGAACCCCATCATCTGCTGGATGTCGCTGCTGAACCTGTCCACACCTGCACACACGGGCAGCCCTCACAGTGCCCGCCCGCTCCCCAGAGCCCGGGCGGCTCCGGCTACCCCCCTGCAGGGGCCGGTCCCAGGGCATCCACGAGGCAAGACACTCCCAGCACGGGGAGAGGACACACTCGGGGAGAGCGTCGCCTGCCTGTCACAGGTGACCCCAATGCACTTCCAGAGGAAGTCAGGCCCGGGAGGGCGGAAGGACAGGCTGGGGTTTGCCTCTGGGGGGCGGGGGCGAGATTAACACTGCGGACAGGAGGGACTGGCGGAAACGGTTCCCGTTATGGGGGTCGCTCGCAGGAGCGGGACGGACTTCTGCGAAAATAGCTATTTGTTCATCTGAAGCACAAGCGTCTGCTCCAGATGGCTCCTGTGGGCAGACTCTGGGCGCCTGTGGCACCTCTGCTGCCTTGCGTTAGAGGGAATTCACCCAAAGATGAACTGGGGTGCAGGCCCTGGAGCACGGGGGTCCCACACTTACCATAAAACCAGGAGACCCCGATGGCCTCCATGAGCACGGCAAACAGAATGGAGGTGCCCGCGGCGAAGGTGTCCAGCAGAGTCAGCACGTATATCCCGCCCTGGGGGGACACAGCCCCGAGGCTGTGACACCCACCAGCACCAGCACACACCTGTGTCCAGTCCCACTGGCTCCCTCTCAAAGGCTCTGGGGAGTCACCGGGGCTCGGGGGGTATTTCAGCCAGTGTAAAGGGAGACGGTTTCCGAGGGACTTTGCTGCTCCCTACATCAATCAGCAGTTAAAAAGTTTGCCCCAAGATCCTCATGCTCAGAGGTGGGAGAAGACAATGGCCTATCACCCCAAGGGGTTAGCTGCAGGATTGAGGGTGCGGGGTCCCGCTCCTCTGAGCTCTCTCAAGGTTGGAAATGTCTAACTCGATTGAAATGCAGACCAGGGAGCCCCTGGTCTGTTCCTCCTCACCTTAGTTATACAAAACAGGGCCAGAAGGAAGGTCCCAAAGGTGACCCCGAAGGTGAGGAGCTTCCGATGTCGCTTCAGGATCTGGAAGTCATCGGCCAGGCCGGTGATGACCGCCTCCATGCCGCCCATCTGGAGGGGACCGGGGCAGGACGGGCACAGGGCTGAGCCCCACACGGTCTCACCCTCAGCCCAGCACACCTGCACACCTGGCCTCTCCAGAAATCGACACAGCCCCCCTCTGCTCCCCACTTTTCTGCCATTTCTCAGCTGAGCACAACTCAGGAACAACACGGGAGAGGGAAGCTGAACTCCGCCTGCACCCTCAGGCTGCGTGGCTGCTGGTAAGCTGGGCTGACGCCACGCCGAAGCCCTGGAGGACCTTCTAGAAACAGTTACACAGAAGCGCTTCCACGGGGGGACTCCAGGCAGCAGCTTCACCAAGGATCCTGGCTGCCTTTATAATCCTTTAGCAAAGGGGCCAGGTCAGATTCCTCACGGGCCTCGTCCCCATGGGCATGGCCGGAGAATTCCCCCCGAGGCCACTGAGGAACAAGCCCGTGGTCACTTCAGTGATGCCGTGCAAGCATGCGCTCCACCATGAGCCTTCACGCGGCAGGCACTGTCCCCTGAGCCCAGAGCAGCCTCAGACCCTTCCCAACACATGTGGAAGGACCAGGGGGCAGCGAGGCGAAGCCTCTTGGGCAGTCTGAGGCTGAGGTTTTTCGGGAACTCCAGACACAAGGTGGTAACGGTGGACATAGGCCTGAAAGGAGGTCGTGGGG